CCCCGTTCCCTTGTTTCTCTCCCTCCCCAGGTTCGAACCCCGGTGCCCGAGTGTCCGTGTCTCTGCTGGTGCTTGTGGTCACGTGTCTGTCTGGCCTGCTGGTCAGACTGTGAGCACAGGACTCGGTCAGGGGAGAAACCGGATATATGACATAACCGGGTATAAGACATAACCGGATTCTGAGAAAACCAGATCTACTGTCCAAACTTCCCTTTCGTTTGTTTCTGCAGATAATAATCGATACTTATTGTTACATGATTTTATTTTGGTAGAATATTCGAACACTTTGCCTTACGCAAGGAAAATTTAAAATTCGTAGATTTTATTTCACACTTGAAATTGTCAGGCAGCGTGGTGGAATCAGGCTCTCGTCCACTTTTGGTCATATTGAGTTATCGGTATCATCTTAAAGCTTGTTCATTAGTCTTGCTTTCAATGAAAAATTACACATCCATCTTCAATAGAAATAGAGATATTTTGGATTGAAGGAGGCGGGGGGTCACCTGATTTAAGAGGTAAAATTAGCGAGAAAATGCCCGCCAAAGCTTGGTAAATTCTAAAGCTGAAGAGTCCATGGAAACTGTAAATGTATATGTTTATGCCTTTAATCAACGTTTTCGGTGAAACCCTCAGATAAATGTGTTTGTAAATGGACATAAAAGGTATAGAGCCTAAAAACCCAAATTTGATAAAAATTGCTAAGCAGGGAGAAAATTGCTGTTTTCTTCGATTTCATTATTTTGACGAGAGCCTGATTCCACCACGCTTCCTCACAATTGCTACCTCAGAATTACACAGTTCTCTCTGATATTTTCACCCACTTTGAGTATCTAAGACCATGAGGTCAGAGACTAACTATTTATAGAGAAGATCAGAAACCAAATGTTCTATATGCTCTATCAAAATCGTAAGATTATACGGAGTTGGTATCAAGATATTTTTTAATTTTTTTTTGTAAAGTGTTTTACGGCGCTCGCAACTGCATAAGGTCATATGAGCGCGCGGGACACACCTAATATTTTCAGTTGGTAGGAAATTTGGAATTTTGCCCGGGTGGCGGCCGAAGCCTACTCTTAT